TTCATCAGAAATGGGCCCTATTATTTCAAAGAGAAAGGCTAAAACGATGGACATCCACCAGTGTTCCAGTCCCCAAACCAGATTTCCTGGCAATGTGGGGCTGCAGTATAGTTTTCAAGGTTTATCTGAATGTCAATGACCTTGAGGAGAGCTAGGCTAGGGGTCCCTGGAAGGAAGCTAATATTTGAAGTGCACACCACATATCTGATAGGTATTATGCTAAGATGTTTACATACATCCCTTTGTTTAAATTCTGTATATTTATTTCCTAAGCTTCAATTTCATGTAAGAACAGAGGAATACCTGTCTTGAAAGATGATGATCCCAAACTCTTCAGAAACTAGTCTAAAAAAAAAAAAAAAACCTATTCTGTATTCATTGGGATTTACAGAAAGGAAGATAATTAATTGAACACCTACTATGGATCAAGCATTATGGCTTTCATTCATGTTATCTCATCCTTAGTCCCACTTTAAAAATAAGACAAGTGAAATTAGGCAGAAGTGATCCAAGCTATGTTTCCCCAGTGGAGAAATCTCCATCAAGAATTCAGAAAATAGCCAGGCAGTGGTGGTACATGCCTTTAATCCCAGCACTCAGGAGGCAGAGGTAGGTTTGAGTTTGAGGCCAGCCTGGTCTACAGAGGGAGTTCCAGGACAGGGAAATAACTGTCTCAGAAAACAAAACAAAAAGAATTTAGAAAATATTTAGTGAGTAATTATGATATGGCAGGCATCTTTCTTTCTTATAGTGAATAAAATAGATTGTACCTCAAAAAGAATTTTGCCCCAAGTTTCTAGAAAAAAATGTCTAGAGATGAAGTGAGGTAATGGAGTATAGAGAAGAAAAGTCAATGGTACTGTGGGGTCATAGTAGGTAGGGTTAAGATGCTAGTATTAGCTAGCCAAAGGATGATGCTGAGTCGGGGAGAGAGGATAACTGGAGTGTACAGGAGGGTTGAGGCTAGTGATAAAATAGCCCATGTTCAACACCTAGGCACTCTTTAAAGCTATGCCTGAAGGAGGTTGTCTAGGAGAAAAGAACAGAAGGGAGATATGATTAAGAACAGAATTCTAATGGTGGGCAGGGGGTCAGGGGGACAGGGGGACAGGGGGCAGGGGTACACACCTCAGGAGCCTAGAGGATTGACTCAAGAGGTAGGTAGGGCATCATAGGCATCTGGCATTGTGGAAAGCTAGAGAAACATCCCTAAGAAGAAGCTACCACTAGTAATTCTGCTAAGGAGTAAAATACAGAACTCCGACTTCAAGTTTTGGTAGAATGATGGTTCCATTCCACAAATATTTATTATCAACTATTTACTAAATATTGCTTCAGCGAGTAGGGGATACCCTGTGGAACAAAAGTAAAGATCCCTACCTCTAGGGGATTCAAATTCTAGAGGAAGGAAAAAACCAAAGCATATTAACTGGTTATAAGCACTTCATAGGAAATCAAAGCAAGGAAGGATAGCCAGGAGGCAGCCTATACTTGTCTTCCCAGAACTGGGGAGGTTGAGGAAGGAGGATTGTGAGTTTGAGGCTGGCCTGGGCTAGTACATTCTAGACCAGCAAGGACTACAGAGGAGACAATATTGAAAAAATAAACAACAAAATAAACGCAAACAAAAAGCAGGAAGTAGAGTTCTATGTGAGGAGAGATAAGATACAGTTCCAATTATGGTGGCCAGGGGACATTTAAAGACATGAATGAGTAGAGGGGGTCAAGTACATGTGTGGAAGAGAAATACATAAAGAAGTAGATAAGCACATAAAGAAGAAAATATGTAAGTGCCTTGAAAGTGCAAAGGTTTCCAGTGATTGGAGCAGTGTGTGAAAAGGATCACCAAATGGTCTTGGAGGGGAGTGGGCAAAGTGTGTGGAACTGTTGTCCAAAGACAGGGTTTGGAGCAGGAGACCCTAGCTGACTGACCTCCATGATAGCGGGATGATAGGCGCTAGTGTTGATTACTGTTAGACTTCTGGGATGAGAGGCAGAAGCAGGCAGATCTGTTAAGGCACATCTCTGGTACACTGGGTAAAAGAAACCAGTGGGAGCTGAGCCTGGCAGCAATGGAGAAGCAGTGAAAGGTTGGACTCAAACACTTCTTGAGTGTGGAGCTGGTGAGATGTGCTGATCAACTCGACATTGTCTGAGATGGGTTAGTCCACCATCAGTGTCAGCCTGAGCAACTGGAAGGAACTGGGGGAGACTCAGGGAATGGGGGCTCATTCTGAATACATCAGGAGGTATAGAGACATTCCTGGGGCAACATCAGAAGCGAGGGAAGAGTTTGGAGATAGAAAAAACAGATGGCTAAAGATGCAAATGTGTGATCTGCTGGGTGCAACTGATGTTTGAATCCGTGAAAACAGATGAGATCAGTGAGTTATGAGAAAAGTTGTCCAAGGGATGATGCAGTGGGCAGCCGAGACTGCAGAGCTGAAGAGGGAGGGGCCAGCCCTGTGTGGAGCCTAGCAACCTGGAGGGCTGGGAAGGCCAATGCTGATGGGAAACCTATCACAGAGTTTACTGTGTAACCACTATGGAAGGTTGTAATGGCACCTCCAGTCGAGTGGTATAGACAAATCCCAGCCAAACTCAAGCCTGGGAGAGATGAGGGAATGGCCCGTGAGAGTACCAGAAATTCTAAAGCAAAAAAGCAAAGAAACTGGGCAGAATCCCAAGCACAGGGGGTGTGAGATATTCGTAAGCCCTAACAGTCATCCCATGTACTGAAGGTAAAGAATTAGTAGAGAGCAAAATGGACGATACAGGTGATGGGAAATTGCTCAGTGATGAGCTTGAACACACCAGTGGGAGATCTGGTCTCCATGGGCAGCAGGGCTAGCTTACCTGCACCGTGTGGAACATGCAGGGGCGAAAAGCCTATGGATGTTCTCTCTTGATGGCATCTTTTCTTTTCAATAAACTAGCAGTCAAGGTCATTAGCACAGAGTGAGTATGCAGAGACATGTTTGAACTCTGAGAAGAAACAGCTGTCTGGAAGTGGGTGGGAAATGGATGAGGATAATGAAACTCCCCAGCAGCACCCAAAGCCCACTTGACAGTAACACAGCAGTGTTCCTTCAGCCTTGCTAAGATGCACACACAGAGGATGACTGGAACTATTAGTGAACGTTTGCTGGAGCAAGGAAAAGAAACAGAGATTTGATGTTCAAGGAATTCATTCATCCTACCCGCAGGCCCAACGATGAGGCAGCAGAAAGCATCACTTCAGCTTCAAGGGCAAGACTTCAGGACGAGACCGGTTTCGTTTACAGCATGGAAGGGGAAACAGCATTCAGAGGGGGAGCACACAGGGAGATCCGGCTCTTGGTGAGGCCTATTTCAAGAGTGGTGGGGGCTGACTGGTCTGCGTGGGAGAACAGAAGTCAGGCTGAACAGTAGATAGGGGCTAGCCCTGGATGAAGGCCCAAGGCAAGGTTGCAAGCATATACCTGCATGTGGTGCATGTGTTTTAAGAATTCTTGGCAAAAGCAAAGGCCACGGGAAGGTCAGGGGATGACCATGACGGGTCCAAAGCACAGTGGGAAGATGAGACTTAGATCACCCAGTTGAAGGAAGTGGTAAAGATGGCTACAGTGACCGAGGCTGACTGACCTGTGCAGTGGGATAATCAGGTATTTCTCTCATGGGTGTATCTATTTGCTCTCTCCTGGAGTGAAGTGAGAGTTGGCAATGTTGGAGATCTGGCAAATGGAAGGAAGAGTGAGCGAGGGCACCAGCAATGAGGTTGGAACAATGCTAGGGACTTGCAAGTGGCCTGTACTCCAGTACCACCTGAGATATGTGGTCCTGAGTCTGAGATGACATCACTCAACATGGTTGTTCATTTGTCCCCACCAGGCCTTGCTGCTCAGGTGCAGGTACCATGTAAATGGCTTAACCAAGACTAAGGTTGTTCCCAGGTGACTCTAAGGTCAAGGGGTTAGGATGCTTCCCGTGAAGTAGTAAAAGTACTGGCCCATGAACTCTTCCTTCTTTTTGAAGCAAGGATGTAAAGAAGAATGGGTAGAGACAGAGTCTGTATGTCTGGGTAAGGTGGATGAATGGATAAAGGACATGATCTGGGGTAAATAAGCTGAAGAAGGTGGAAGATGATGACCTGAGAGGTAGGATGATGGTGGTGACCATCTTTCCTCTCATTAGAAGTAGGGCTGGGGTGTACCTCCGCAGTAGAGTACTTATCTCGTCCACTGGAAACCCTGAGTTGAGCATCATTTAATTTGAATCTTATAACTGATAGCAATGTACAGTAAGTGCTCTATATCATGTTATAGGTTGACTGTCTCTCATTTTATGCTTGGGACTAGCAGTGTTTAGATTTGGGGATATTTGCATATACATACAATGAGATATCTTGGGGATGGAAACCAAGGGTAAACAGACTTCATTTGTTTCGCATACAACTTAGATCAGAGGGAATTTCATACAATGCTTTCAATGTGTCTGTTCCTTCACCACGACCGGCCACATGGAGTGAGGTGTGGAGTCCATCTGTGGCACCATATCTGCACTCAAACTTCTGGACTCCGGCCTTTTAGATTATAGGTACTGAGCCTGCATAGGCAAGTACTACAGTTTGATTATAAGGGAAATCGATACAATTATTTTTATAACAAGTGTGATGGACACACTAATCTTAATAGTTCATATAAATTTTATGTATCTAATTAAAATAAGAAAGTACTCATTCCACAATTAAGTGGAAAATACCCAGTGAATTCTACTCTTACCAGTATTTTAAAGATGAAAAAGTTTCTCGAAGAGTGTATACAAAAGGAATGAAATGAAACGCAAATATTTTGCTGTTACATGCTTTAAAATAAGCAAATACCAAGTAAAAAGTTTTTATTCCACCTCTCTGCCACCTAAAGCTGTAAGAATATAAGCAAATATTTAACGTGGAGGTGATTAATGTGACCATTGGGAGATTTCAGTGACAAATTAGTGGCATCAAGAGCATTTTCAACTCATTTAAAAGCAGTCAAGTTTTATTCAAGCCATATTTAAGCCTTGAAGATATTTAGGCATCCACTTGGCTCACACAATTCCATTTTCTCCGACTGGGAGCTGCGTTGGGTCCATTCCCATTTTCTTCATGGAGACAGCAATGTCAAACAGGTAGTCATAGCACTCACACCTGCGGAGGAGGAAGAGGCGGAAGGACTGAGTGGGTCAGGAGAGAGCTTCCGGCAGTTCCCACCACCACATCTCCCAGCATGAGCTTTGTTGCTACATTTGCTACTGAGTTCGTACCAAAAGTTTCCTACTTTGACCCCAACAATTTTCAAACATGCAAAGGAGTCACACTGAATTGCACAACTATATCATTTACTTCTCAGGAAAGATACTACTCACATGAAGTTATATTTTTTATTATGTGTGGTTTTTATTTTTTTTTATTTTTATTTTTGTTTTTTGTTTTTTTGTTTTTTTTGAGACAGGGTTTCTCTGTGTTGTTTTGATGCCTGTCCTGGAACTCGCTCTATAGACCAGACTGGCCTCGAACTCTCAGACATCTGCCTGACTCTGCCTCTGCCTCCTGAGTGCTGGGATTAAAGGGGTGTGCCACCACTGCCTGGCATGTGCTATATTTTTTAAATAAAAGTTAAATTATTTAAGATCTGTGACTCTTTTCCTCTGTAGCAAACTTCACAGTGCCTTTCTAAATCAAAGCCGACCTAGTCAATATTTCCTGATGATTCAACAGAGTAAAAATCGGGTCTCTATCAGTAACAATGACAGATTATTGAAGCTGAAACCAGTTGACCAACAAACACATGAAAAACTTGTATTTCATTTTAATCCTAAAGCGTGTTAAGTTCATTTTCACATTTCTGAGTGTGATTTGTACCAAATATTCTCGGAGTTCAGTCTTACATGGTTTTTGCTTTCTCCCACGTCTCTCCCCACACGTACACCCCATGACGCCTGACAAGCACTGCACAGGAGTCGGGGTACTCATCCATCGCGTGAGCCATTCGTTCCTTGAGGTCTTTTTCTTCAGGAGTGTTCTCGATAATGGGGACCACTAACACATCATCATATCTGTAAGACAGAATGAGACATTTTCTCCCACTAAAACATCAATATTCTATTGTAATTTTTCCTGTTAGTAACCAGTCGGACACACTTTATATCTAAACAGCGCTCCATGTCTTCAACTTCAAAACAAGATGCTGCAAGTTATTCTGTGTATCTTGTATAAACATCTATATCAAGAGATACCTTTGGAATTTGGCAGGCATCCCTGAGTTTAAAAAGTAGAAATCTGTACAGTAGAGCAGAACCTAACAAAGAAATCAAGATCATACAAGCATTTCCTTGAAGCAAAGATAATCAGAACATTTTAAACATGAGATAGGAAATGATACACCTCACACACAGAAGGGCAGAAGAGATGAAACACTGAACTATATATTACATAGTAGGAATATTCCCCAATGTAAAAATCACTGTGTTTCATCTCTGCAGAATACCAAAATGTCTTGACAGGCAAACCAATCAATGCAGGTGTGGTTTGTGGCACCAGGATAGAAAGAACCATCCAGCAACAATTACCAAGGTTATGATAATCCTTTCAGAATAATCTCAAATCTGCTGCATTAGAACTTCTGTTTCCACCTTTTTTCTCAGTAAATTCATGAGTTAAAGTCAGAATGTAATAATGTTCATGCAAGCAACTTCACCACAAGTAAAACTAGGTCCGTTCTTGAGGTCACTTGTCACCAGTGACAGCTCAGACAAGTGTTCCATTGTACATGGTTTTCCCTACACTGCCTTTTCACCAAAGCAGTGAGTAAACTTAGCAAAAATGCTCAAAGTGTTATCTGAAAGACCACTTTCAGGAAGGCAGAGACTAAGCAGCTATCTTGTGATTAACAATTTGGGCAACCATTATTGTAGTAGTATAGACTTGCTCGTGATTCCACTGTAGTTGAGACAGAAGTAATTATACAATACCGTAGTGTAGAAGAAGTGAATTGCTGGGCTCACATCTTCCCCAAAACTAGCCAAAAGAGCGACAGACTTATATTTTCCTATAGCATTCACCACACAGTCAGAAATAATTCCAGGTGCAAAGTAACTTCAAAGCACAGTGAGACCAGAAAACAAATTCAAAGAATCCGTCATTTCACCAACACGATACTGATCCTCACAAGTTAAATACAAAACAGAGCCATGGAAGTCCTCTGATTGACTCTCAGTATCCTCTGCACTCTAGCAGAGGCATGTTGCTTCCAAAATGGACCGCAGCTACAGTAACACACGCTCACCTCACTGGTAAGGAGGGGAGTTCAATGCTGACTTTGTTTTGCTTAGCTCTGCTGCTGAGGACTGAACCCAGGGCCTCTCAAGTTCTCAGCGCATACTTGAATGCTTTAATTTTTACCTTTTGTCCATAATTTTCATAGTGCCGAGGAAGGCGCTAGGCACACGATAAATAGGAAATCAAATGAGATGAACTTTCAGCACACTGGTTTAAACACACCCAACCTGTTCCCCGAAGTCACAGTAAGACACTGCTGTGGTGTCTTTAGTAACAGGGAACACTTTCCTGTGAAGGGGGGGAGGGGAGACCAGGCCTCACTGGAAACCAGGAAGGGTGAAGGTTCAGAAAAATGCTACCAACTAAAAGCAAGGCTCAGCTTGTACCTGGACAGTGGGAACCTATTTCTTCAAGTCATTCAAGTCTAGATTTACGAATAATGGCTACATTTTCGCGGGCTGGTGGACTTACTTAAATTTAGAAAGAAGGTCATTGTTCTACACTTTTATGTCACCCACATCACAAATTCTGAAATATAGTCATTTATCTAATTAAAATGAATAGGAAGTTTTTATAATTAGGAGCATATTCTAGAAATACATTAAATCAATATAACATTTAATGGTAGTCCAGTTCAAGCTTCCTGAAGACAAAAATGGAGGTGAGATCTTGTTTTCTCAGTGCTGAAAACAGGGGCTACCCTTGCCCATCTTGATAGAAATTTTAGCCTAGACTTCTGTTCATTTTAATGGAGCAAACATTCCATTATTCATGTTGCTAATAATTCACCCTGGCTGGGGAAGGGAGGAGGAAGCCGTGTTACTGAGAACGCATCTGAAAGTACATTGTTAAGTAGGGTATTACTGAACACAGATCCCACTGTACCTCATTATAAAAAGATCGTGGCCTGACTTATCAAAGAGAAGGAAAAAAATGCAAGCCAAATAATTTAATAATAAAATCATACCTGTAATACCCTCCTGAGGTACATTTCCTTATTCCTTTGATCATCTCTTGATGTGTAATTTTAAACTCCCGTCCTGGAAACAGAAGGGTGGCCATGACAGCAGCCTTAGAGTGGGTATGAATCACTGCACCTGCGCCTGCAGGATGAGGAGGCAGCTGCTCAGTGAAGAGAATTTAGGTCTTTAAGAGAAAACCAACATCTATACCTACGCACATTATGTATGCATATGTTCCATTATGGACTTAACATTTCTGCCGTAGGGAAAAATGGTGGTGGCTAAGAAGTGTCCTAGTCAGTTTCTGTTGCTGTGACAGAATGCTGACCAAAGCCAACCTGGGAAAGGAAAGCGTTTGTGGGGTACACGTCCTGGATCACAATCCACCACTACGGGAAGTCAGGGCAGGAACTCAGCAGGGACGTGGAGACAGGAACTGAAGCAGAGGCCAAGGAGTGCTGTCGACTGCCTGGCTCTCATGGCTTGCTTAGCCTGCTTCCTTATACAACCTAGGACCACCTACCCATCAGTGGCACTATTCACAGGGAGCTGCGCCCTCCCTCATCAGTCACTAAATCAAGAAATGTCCCTAGAGACCTGCCTACAGGCCAGTCTGATGGAGGCAATTCCTCAGCTGAAGCTCCTCTTCCCAGGTGACTCTAGCTTGTGTCAAGTTGACAGAAACTAACAGGCAAGTGGAATAACAATGGACCTTCTTCAGAGGCTGATGAGAGACATGCTTGTACGTCTTAGATACTTGCGAGCTGTTAACTAAAGTCATAATGACTATTATTTAGTGAGGCCAACTCTGCAAATGTTCTTTAGACCAACAACTTTCTGCATACCTCTCATGGTGTAAGCATTCATGAAAAGAGGAGTACACTGGCTTTTTTTTAGCTTTTTAGATGCTGGAGGCCCACTTATGTCCTGTTCATTGATGTCACAAACAAACATATCTTCTGGCTATTTAAAGAGAGAGAAAAAGAAAAGAAAGTCTTAAAAATGATAATTAAAATGTCTCTACTTGGCATACTTAGACAGTATATGCATGTGCAAACATGTTTAACATTCAAATTAAACATTCATGTTTGATTCCCCAAAATTTCAGTACCAGGAAAAAAAATTAGTTTTATAATGTGATTAGAAGTGATGGCTCAGTGGTTAAGAGCACGGACAGTTCTTCCAGAGGACCTGGGTTTGGTACCCAGCACCCACATGGCAGCTCTCAAACATCTAACACCAGTCCTAGGGGACCTGATGCCCTCTTCTGGCTTCCATGGGAACTGCATGCACATGGTACAGATATACATGTAGGCAAAATGCTGATACACACCAACTAATAAAATAAAAAAATAAAGTTTATACTATCAAAAACTTTCTTGAGAGTTTTTAAAAAATCACTTTCTTTTAGAATCTGAAGGCTAAGATTGAATGTAGAAACAATTATGTATGTAATGATGTTGCTGTCAGTTCACAGACTTCGGCCTGCTATTTCGCAACTACTTTTCCAGGAAACCACATAAAGAAATCAACAGACCCAGATGGATGTTAGGACTTTCTTACCCCTTAAGAAACTTAGTAATGATGTTATTCTTCAAGTTTCAGGAGTGTGACCTAGCTTTTTCTTAGTAATGCCTGCATAGTTCTGATTGCAACTTGCACATGCCAGGGCTTACCCCAGACTACAATATAAATTTTCACTAAGAGAGCATCTGTTCTTTTTTCTTGCAATTGATCAAAGTTTTATATATTTGGTTAGATTTGGGGTATTATTCTAGCATTGACATAAAATGCCACTTCTCAAATTTTTAAGAAACAATAAATGGATTTCCTCACTTTAAATTGGAATAGCTTTACAACTGAAAATGTGACTCAGTTGTGTGGCCTGAAACTATCAGTAGGCCCAGCTCACTGGGCTGACAAAGGAGGGATGAAACTGCGCTACTCACCGCTGCCCGCGACAGCTTCCTGAACAAGATTTTGAAGATCTGTTTACTTTTATGTTTGCCTGCATGCATGCATGCACACCATGTGCATACCTGGTACCCTCAGAGGTCAGAAGAGGAGCTTTAGATCCCCTGCAACTGGAGTTACAGGCAGCGGTGAGTCACTGTGTGGGTGAGAACGGAGAACCAAGCCCAGGTCCTCTGCAAAAGCAGCGTGTGCTCTTAGCTGGTGAGCCGTCTCTCCAGCCCCGATGAGAGTTTAAAAAACATGCTGGATACGTGGAAGATACTTGCCACCTTAAAAAACATTTCATAATCACTCAACAAATATTTAATAGTTACTTAGCGAATGTTTGTTGATTAGCTATTGAAATGATCACAACAGAACCACCCTTCAAAACTAACCTCACCTTTTAGAAGCAATCCCACTTCATGGGATGGCGGTTAAGGAAGGGACAGAGGCTTAGGAAGGATCCTTAGCGTACCTGAATGCGCTCCTTTTGTACGCCTGAGGGAGCAATGTAGATTTCATCGCTGGCAACACAAAATATAGAAATTGGTTTTTGTTTGGCTAAACTTCCGGTTTTGAACAAATAAAGTGTATCCTTGCAGTCTAAGCACTAATGTCCTCTTTACATCAAGCCCCAAGCGGCTGCTTGGTCGAGTGAAGGAGCCAGGGTGCACAGAATGAGTTCTAAGCGACTTTGAAACACCAGTGGCCTAAGAGAACTCGTGGTAGTTGCTTTTGTCTTTCCTGCTTTCACATATATGTATTTCTTTTCACCAGGCAAAAAAATTTGTGGTAGCCAGACCACTATCTAGAGGAAAGGTAAATTTGAGTATGTTAATTATTTAGCACTTTTGGCATGAATGAACAGAACTTCAGTATCCTATGTAAAATATAGTTAACTCTAAAATCAGGAAAAATATATGCCTGACTGAGAACATTTTTGCATCGTAAAGAATGAGGTTCAAATTTATTACATGAAGTCATGAAGCCCAGAGCCCTCTGGTGGACAGTTTGCTAAATTACAGCATTAACACTCAGAATTTCCTCTATGATAGGCATGCAAATCTTGAAAATTATTTGGCAATTAAATGATCACAAAAAGTTAGAGATGAAAGTAGGGTATTGAGTGTGGTTGCATATGCCTATAATCACAGCACTTAGGAGGCTGAGCAGAGAAAATCATGGGTTCAATATCAGTGAGGGATATGTAGTGGGCAAATATCTGAAACAAAATAAACACACAGAGAGAGAGAGAGAGAGAGAGAGAGAGAGAGAGAGAGATGCTTTTTGTTATGAGTGTTAGGCTGAGATCTACACCCTGTACCATTTCCCACAAGGTCCTCAATGGTGCTGTCAAATGTGACTTGCAACATAATTTCCAAATCTTCCCATTCTCTCCACTCACAGAAAGGTACTTCTCCTCACTTATCAGTTTCAGTTCCAGAGCATATTAATGAGCAGCCACAAAACCGGAAACCAAGGGAACACAAGCACCCGAGACTCTAGCTTTTACCACACAGGCAGAAATGCACAAAGGACAAATATCAAAGCTTCAAAGTGAAAACGAGGATGGCCTATATGAAGCTGTCAAAATGGTCACTACAAAATGTGCGGACATGGAACTGACAGGCGGGTCAGGGAAGCAGGAGTTTCTCAGTAAACTAAGGTCTAGATGAATGCCTGATAGCTGAGCAGAACCCAGGAAGCAGTGAGCTCGCGCCTCCATTAGGTGTCCCGAAGCTCAGCAGTGCTCAGTCTCTGTTGTATGGACAACAGTGTGGCAGGCCTCCCTCCAGAGCCAGAAGTCCCAGATCCTCGCCAGCCTGGGGATCAGAGAAGAGGGTCTAGTTGTACTGTGTGCTTGGACCGTTGTCTCTGGAAATGGGAATTTAGACTTCCTTCAACTTCGAGCCATTCAAAGGTAAGCTAAGTAAGCTTTTGACAGCAATACCAACACAGAAAGAGAAATACAGGAAAAATACAAAAGTGACAGCTTTTGTCTTAGGAGATAACACATAAAAGACTGAAGAAAAATGTGTGCTTGCTTCTATAAGCCGCAAATAGAAAGAACTTGGGAGTTCCAGAGAATGAATTCTGGAGTTTATTTCTCTATACTCCGTGCTCTTTCACTCTACGACAAACAAGAGTCCCTACCACATCTGTGTTCAGGTGTGTCTATTGTTACTCACCCTCTGGTCATTAGAGATCACTGAGATACTATGTCTCAATAGCTCATCTACAATATGTGCTTATCAAATGTGATTCTAACAGCATGCATCAAGCTTAGGCTGGCACATATCCATGAAAATAGGAAATGGTGAATCTGAACATCACAGACCAAGCCTAAAGGCCATGGCTGCTGAGTGTCATGGAATTACTTTGATGACTCCTATGTGTGTCCTCACTTTCAATCCCTATGCATGTCCTTGCTGTCATATACATGTATGTGTATGAATACATGTGTGTACACACACACACACACACACACACACACACACACACACACACACACATCCTGGTACCACACCAGTCATGTAAGCTGGGGTGGTATCAGCCAAATCTTGAAATCTGTCAGTATTTCTATATTCCCCAGGACTTTATTGTCTGTATGATTCTAGAACATTATCTACTATATTTATAAGTCTTTTCAAATTTATTTGCACCAAAAGTCAGGCACAGAAGACAAAACTATTATCAGAAACACGAAGATGAGTAATGGGGACTCATAAAGTCATTTAAATATTAGGGATAACATTCAATATTTTACTAAAATTACCTGTTTTAGTCTGTAAGCACAAACTGAAAGCCAAACAATGCCTTAAAACTTTACTCCTTCCCATTTGTGGCCTCTAGGGGGAGCTCCCTGCCCATTAAAAATAAGGAAAAACTGCATATGATGCAACTTCCTATAAATTGATTGCAGTGCTATAAAAGCCATTACCTATTAAGAGATGTGCCAATAAATGGTTTATGTTGGCCACACACAATCAGTGTGTAGAATAGTAAAGTTTTTCTAGAAAGAGAAGTCCTTTACAATTTCTTGCTTTAAAAAATTTTCTTTCGTTTTCATTCTACTCATTTTACACACACACACACATACACACACACACACACACACACACGCACGCACGCGTGCGCGCATACACACACACACACACACACAGAAATGACTATTTTAGCTCAGTTTGGTAGGAGTTCTATTATGTACAAAAACCATTCTCTGTACATAAAAATAAACAGTAGTTAGCTAAATACATTTAGAACATGATTTATTATAAATCATATACCAGTAAAACACAGGCACTCAACTTTTAAATAGAAAAGTGAAACAGGAACAACTTATTAATAGTTTCAGGTACATTGTGAAGAAGACAACTTGAAAATTTAGGCCAAACCCCTGTGTGTGTGAAGGTCTGCACAACGCTGAACTGACTCATTAGCAGCTGGGGTGACTGCTGGTGAGGGGCAGAGGGTCGTGTGGGCCCAGCAGGGAACACGCTGCATCTGGACTCTGAGAGAACCTTCTAGTCACCACCGGACAAGCTGTTCACTAAGGCACCTTTTGCTACTTCCCACTATTGAATCAATATTTCATGAATTACACTGTAATTTGAAGCAGATGAAATTACAAAATCATCATCGTGTGGGATGTAATAAAATTCCTTTTGTTTAAAATGTTCTGATTTTATTTTACAATCCATTTACTATTATGAACTGCAGACTCCTTGGGATACACACACACACACACACACACACACACACACACACACATACATACATATGCATATGTACACACACATATCATGTACATACATATTCAACATGTTTTAATAGCCCAATTTTGCTAAGGAAAAAAGGTAAATTGGAATATAGAAATAAAGTTCCGTTACTTAGTTTAACACTCAGCCTCCAGACAGCAATATTCATAAGGCATTTCAGGAGGAATACATTAGTCCTACTTCAGGACGCCTCAGGAGAATGAGGCTTCACCTTGAGAGTTATTACCCACGGTGTGTCTATTCCTCATCTGCTCGAAGACAAGACATCCCTGAATCCAATGAGCACTAGAAAACGATTCCTTCTTTCTATTTTAAATCCAGTGCCTCAAAGGAGGAAATATCAGCAGGTGCTATACCCATTAATATTTCTGCCTAGAATAGTACACGGCTTGTTTCTGAACTCAGTAAACATGGATTTTTAAATTTTTAACCATTAATAATCTATATTTAAGTGACTTCAAAATATGTCTCTGAACTTTTGAAATAAATCTTTGACTGTCTAGAGAACAGTATAAAAGTCCAGAAACATGAACATACTTGGTGGACTGTTACCTACCTTCAATATTCCAAAGAGAGAGAATCAAATTATTCCAATTAGCAACTGGGATCCAAAAGCCTTCAGTGTTTATTATGCTATTGCTTCTGCTCCTTGGTTCCGTTGGGTTATGCAAACATCCATAGATCATTTAGAAAGTAAACAGCTTCAGTATCACATTAAACTGACTATCAGCTGGGTTTGGACGCGCCATCTGTGGTAAACTGACTATCAGCTAGATTTGGCCAAACCATCCATGGCTTGATGAAATGGAGAACTCCAGAGCTGAACTCAACTGGACACTTACCCATGCTTCAAGCTAATTCCTCCTCCGGTGCCAGTGACCCAGCCCAGATGATAAAACTGTTTGCAAAGTTCTGGGATCAGGAATCTGGGGTGTTCCTTGTCCTTAAACAGAAGAGAATGACTTTTTAAATAGACTCTTTAAATTGTGTATTCCAGCAGGCATTCCTAACAAGAAACCACTTAAGGACATTCAAGGAAATCGACCTAAGAAAAGAGGTAGTTAAGGAAACAAACACATTCTGCCCATAATATTTAGAAAATGGATTTACTTAATTATTTGGCAACCTGGGATTGGTTAGTGTAGGGGTCTATAGTCTAATGCAATGGAACAAGCTGTAATAATAAGGCAGGGAAATGCCAGGGGCCTATGACACCCGTGTCAAGAAAAAGACAGTGGAACCTAGTTAAAAGGAACATGCTTCAGGCTACACGGGAAAGTTATTCACAGAGAACAGCACACTAGAACACCATACGTGAGACACTGCCCTTGTTATCTATCCAACAGTCTGTGCTGGCTCAGTTTTATTTTTATCTTACAAATGCTCTGTTTTCCAAAATGATTTTAATATCTTCTCTTATTACAATTATAATAAACACCCACTATGAAAACTAAAATCAAGCAAATAACAATAAGCAAATCCTACTCAAAAGAAATCATGATTCTTTTTCATGAAGGCACTTTGTTTAAAGGAGCATATGAATAAAGGCTGAGGGAAACATCAAGCTGCATTTATATGTGTAACTCCAACAATTACCTCTTTAGAAAAACGATGTCATTTATTTCCTCCTGGTGTTTTCTTAATAGTTTACATTAATGGAAACAAAAACAAAGTATAATGAACTTCATTTTGTCAGTATGATATATAGCATTACCTTGAAAATAAAGAACTGCAGATTAAGTCATTTTTACAAATATTTCAAAACAAATTGCTGAAGTAGAAAGCAGGATTTCACAGGGGTTGTGAAAGAAATGAGAGCGGGACATCTTGGGAGCAGGGAACCTCAAAGCCAGGATTCTCTTCAAGGCACCTGAAAAAATTCTGGGGACCCGGAGCTTCAATTCTGATATCTGGACAGGCATTAGAAATCCAAGATACACTCCAGATTTGCACCACACAGAAAATCCCCATAGAAACTCAAGACTCAGTGGGCTGCATTCTCAAGGAAAAGGCAAACAAACAACCCTTGCTATGGAGAAAGCACAGTGAATAACTGGACGGCTGACTCGGCCCTGGGTAAAGGGGTTAATCATTCTTGAGGCCAGAGAAAAATCATTCTTTCAACAGACTGGATCCTAAATAGCTGAAATTGTGCTTTCCCAAATTTGCTTCTGATTCTCATTCTCTCTCCCTCTCTTCTCTCTTCTTGCATCTCTCTCTCTCTGTCTCTGTCTCTCTCTCTGTCTCTTTCTCCACACACACACACACACACACACACACACACACACACACACACACACACACAGATAGTTTTAGGTAAGTATTACAAATGATTGTTGATGAAGGGGCCTTCAAAATATAAAACCGAGAGCATGGGAGAAAGCTAGACATTTTGTAAAGCTCAGATGAACACAGGCTTAACAGTTAGCAGGGCTGACAAACTACATTATGTTTAATTCATTGTTTACATGATGCTGAATGTGCTGGCTAGTTTTTATGTTCACTTGACACAGGCTAGAGTCATCTCAGAAGAGGGAACCTCAATTGAGAAAATGTCCCAACTGACAATTGATGTGGCTCAGCTCACTGTGGATGGTGCTGCCCCGGGTGGGTGGTCCTGGGTTGTATAAACCATTAGGGGCAAACCAGGAAGCAGCACTCCTCCACAGTCTCAGCTCCCGCCTCCAGGTTCTTGCCTTGTATTCCTGCCCTGACTTCTCCGGATGATGGACTGCATGCTGTAAGCTGAAATTAACCCCTTCCTCCCCATGGTGCTTTTTTCAGGTTTTATCATAGCAATAGAAACCTTAACTAAGACAATGAGCCTCTCTTTTACTCAGCCATTCAATGAGAACACATTGAGGAATAAAATGAGATAAAATGAAGATAAAACACATAACACAAAGCTGAAGGGATGACTCAGCAGGTAAGAGCATCATGTATTGTTCTTGCGGAGGACCAGATTCAGTTCCCAGCACTCACATCAAGTGGTTCACTACCACCTCTAACTCCAGCTCCAGCGGGTACTGAAGCCTCTGGCCTGCTTAGGCACCTGCATGTAGACCTACCTATACACACACACACACACACACACACACACACACACACACACATTTTGCTGGAGTGAGGGTCAGAGGTTAAGGCCGATACCCTCTTGCAGAGGGCTGGAGTTCAGCTCCTAGCACGCATGTCAGGCGGCTCACCGTCACTTGTTACTCCAGTTCCAGAGGACCCCAAACCCTCTGCTGGAGTCCTTGGGCACCTGCGCTCATGTGCACATACCACACAGAGCTGCGCACATATACACTCATTTAAAAACAAAATTTTAAAGTCTCTACAGTAAGAACACTCCCTACAAAACTGTGTGGCACAATACTTCCTTCCTTCCATTTTAAAGAGTTAAAGTTCTTGAACACAAATTAATTGCTTAAGGTTAATAATAAAATGGATTTCTTAACTTTTCTCAACGAAACTAGCCAAAAATGTCTATGCCCCATATAATTTGCTATTTCCTCTTTTTTGGGGGGAACATAAATGATATTTTAATTACATATTAAATACAGCTAATGGGAAGACTCCTGCAGTGTTCCAATCATTAAGACCAAATTTGCGCAACAAATTGCAAACATTACAGAAAATGGTCTATTATTACAGAGCCCCTTCCCTCTTGTCTTTCCCCAGCACTGAAGTATTGGAGCAATTAGCTAGCTTCCCGACGCCAAAGACAGTTCCTGCATCCCCCTCAGCCATTCAGATCGGCAAGACATAATTACAGGGAAGTAGCGGAACCCTGGTGAAGACACTTTTGCTGAAGGTGCCGCCGTCACTCAACCTGTGCAGCCCAAGAGTGTGAACATGGAAACGCTGTCGTCGGAACCGGCAAGGGAAGGCTTAGCTGGTGTCACACCACTGCTCCCTGGATGCCAACAGCACCTGTCAGCTGTCGTCAGAGCTGGCTTTCAGTGAGCATGGTAACTATATGACACGAAGCGAAGGACTCCCCACAATGAACTATTTGCAGAAACACAGCTCTGGTGCAACAGACACAGACTTGGTGACATTCAGAAGATATTACAGGCACTGAAGTATAAAACGCTTTCATGCCGCTTTGAAGACATTTTGCCTTGACTGTCGCAGAAATACCTAGGTACGCCTAACGGGGCTCCACTTATTTCCGTTCCTTGCTTTTCTTTCACCTTAAAACACCAGCACGCGTCTGGACCCAGGGATTCCTGGGAGACTCTGACACAACATAAAATAAACTGTCAGGGGAGGGGTGCCATTCGATGGTAAAGCATGCTTTTTAGCATAAGCAAGGGCCCAGATGTGATCCAGGGATGCTTGCTGGGTGCCGGTTTCCTTATATGGACCAGTGATTCCTAGACTTCCGAATTTCAACACCAGTTTTCTTTCTTTCTTTGTTAGCTGGGGGTGGGGCGCACGCGTGGAGGTCAAAGCATCACTTCCTGGGGTCCCTTCTCCCCTTCTATCTCTGCGTGGGCTCTGGAGAATGAACTCAGGTCAACAGGCTTAGGCAGCAATTGCTGTACCACTGACTCAGCTCGCAGGCCCACGGGCAGTTTTATTAATTTTAAGAAATGACATGTGGTTGCCAAGTAACGACACTAATTATATTTAACTCTCCACTATCACTGTCTTCAGAAAAGAGTGGATTTTAAACATAAAGACAGCGAGGAGAATACTGTCACAGTAAAGGCTAATCTTTTAACTTGAATGAAATTAATTGGGGGAAATTCATATTTTCATTGTTCTCACTTTGTAGTCCTAATAAAAAATCTCTGCAGGACTAACATTTGGAGGTAGAAGTTACGCTTTTCCTGTTTGATCTCCTTGCCTGCATTTTCTTCTCCTCCAGTTCATCCTCCATTCTACCATGAGTACTAAGCTAACACAGTACTTTGATCCTTGAGCTTGGTCCCTCAAATCAACAAATGCTCAAATACCACTTCCTTGATCTGTTACATCCCTTTATGTCCTAATTTACTTTTCAAGTATTTTTTTTTTCACTTATTGTTTTATATAAGTCCCTCAGTTCTAGTCAAACTCCTGTTAGAATCAGTTACAAGATAACTCTTGGGGATCACTGCACCCTGACAGTCACACTGATGGTCTGCCCCCATGGTGCCAGGGCTGGCTGATGTGCTAACAGACCACAGCAAAAGTGGTTACTGTGCCACTTCTCAATGAGGCCATAAGATGTGAGGTTTCAGTGCTGGATCTTGGGACTCTCTCTGGGATCACTGGTTCTTTGCAGAGCCAGCCCATGCTGAAGGCCACCACAGCCTACAGAAGTCACTTGGGAGAGCAGATCCTCCTTGTGCGGTCCATCCTTGATGTGTCTATTGCTTGGGCAACAGCCTGAATGCTGCCTCATGAGACCCTGATCCAGAATTCAGCTCGGCTGCTCCTAGATTCCTAACCCTGAGCATCTACGGGACACAATCAGTGCTGTTTTCAACTGCTAAAGTTTGTGGTGGTTTGCTGCATAGCAACAGGTAACTAAGCTATGTTTCTTCCCAGGCAAGAATACAGTTTTCTTCTTACTGTTCCTGCTCATGCTGGACTCCAGTTGTTGCAATTCTCTCAAACCCTGCTGGTTAGCTTTTACTCAAGCAAAATGCAGCTGCTCTCCCTCCAATTCTGTGTGACAGCCTTTGATCTCTGCACTTGTTTCCTGGCATTTATTATCTACTTCACTCCTTCACTCAACAAACCCTGAGTGCTAAATACATGATAGGCCCTGAAGACAGAAATATAAGTAAGATAAGATCCACTCTGAGGAACTTAATCTAGTAAAGAACTTGACAGTCATGGGATGGTAATGTATAATACAAAACGGGTGGGGCATGATGGGAGTAGAAGCTAGAGACAGGGAGGAAAGGCGTGAGGAAGGGTGCTTGAGCTCATGAAGGGTGAAGGGAA